GTGATGAACTTCGAAAATAAAAAATTGGTGACATGGAAGATCTTAATTTGGCCCTTTTAATAAAATCACCCGATACTAAAACAAAGGTTCCTAGAAATTTCACAGTCACAGCAGAATTCTACCAAATTTACAAAAAATATGTGAAGCTTCGACCATGCACAAATGAAACACGTTTTTTTAAATTACAAAAATAGCAAATCTACAAAACATCCTGTGGGAAAAAATAAATTTGGCACCATGGCGAAAGAAATAGCGAAATGTTTTCAATTACCGAACCCTGAATTATATACTGGCCACTGTTTCCCAAGGTCATCTGCGACTATTTTAGTTAATGCAGGGGCAGATCTTTTAACTTTAAAACGCAATATGGGTTGGAAATCCAGCAATGTTGCTGAATCTTATATCGACAACTCCATAGCTAACAAAATGAAAATTTCAAAAAGTATAGTAGAATCCGTTCAGCCTTCAGCGTCATTAGAACCTGAACAGAACAATGATGTGGAAGCTCAGAACGTTTCCCCATCAACGTCAAACTCGACCGCAGGTAATATTTCAATTATCGAAAACACGTTGAAATAAAACGACCTACCAGGAATTACTTTACAAAATTGTTCAAGAATAACTGTTAATTAGTATTTCAAATGAAATATAAAAATGAGTTAAAGACATACAAGTATTATTATATCTGTATTTTAATTTTCAATACTTGAAAACAACGCAACCGTAGAAAAAGTACAGTGTACAATACGTGAGGAAATGAAAATTTCTCACTCACTTGATTTGCGCCTTTGGCTCGTGCCATTAAGCTTCTGCGCTCGTGAGAAATATGTCGTTTTAGGTCCTTTCTTTCTTCCGCTCCGACTAAATGGCGCAACTTACAGACACTTTTTAGAAAATGAATTGCCGAGACTACTTCAGAATGTACTATTAGAAATTCGAATCCGCATGTGGTGTATGCATGATGGGGCTCCGGCCCATTTTAGCGTTGTAGCCAGGGAATTCCTTAACACAGTCTATCCAAATCGATGGATCGGTAGGGGTGTAGAAGAACCTAACCAAGCGTGGGGACCAAGGTCCCCAGATCTAAACCCGATAGATTTTTATTTTTGGGGACATTTGAAGTCACTAGTTTATAAGACAACAGTAGTGAACGAGGAAGATCTAAGAAACCGAATAGTAGACGCCTGTGAAACAATAAGAAACACACCAATAATTTTTGAGCGGGTACGAGATTCAATGACTAGACGACTGACTGCCTGTATCTTCGGTGAAGGTGGACACTTCCAACAATTTATTTGAATACAATTTAGTTTCGTTTATTTTAGTTTATTCTACATATTCAAAATTTCCTGAAATAAAATGTTGACATTTCTTGCAAATTTTATCAAAACAAATAATGATTATGCACCCTTGATACAAAAATAACTATTTCGCTTAAGGATGTCATAAAGGAACATACCCAACAGTAATGACCTCTTCAAACGAGTTAAACGTCAAATTCATTTCCAAAGCATTCTTGTGAAAAAAACAAAATATTCGTAATAACTTTAACATGCATCGATTATCAAATAATCGACTTGAAGTTTTCAAGTCCAAATATTTAGAAAACGGTTGCTTACAACGACTAGTAACAAGGGTAGCTTATTTACGTAGATATGATAGAGGAATCGATTTTTTTACTGAAAAATGTGCTAGAAGTTCGCCCAAAAAAGTTATGAATCTTTAAAAAAGAAAAAGACGTACGAGTAAGAGCAATAAGAACATCAGGTTCGAATTCGACACCTCAAAAACCTCCTATTACCAAGTTTCGTTCAATTAAGTTCAGTATTTCAAAAATTATTTGAAGAAAACGAAAATAAAAATAAAACTTCAACATCCTGTATCTTGGAAACGAAGCGTTTCCGGACATTTATTTATTTGGACAATTCATATTAGAATCACCTCCTGAAGTTTGTCAAAGTACTTTTGAATCACCCTGTATGGGGCCGTCAGGAAACTCGCAGTCATAAATGGGGCCGTGAATGAAAGAAGTTTAAGAAGCCCTGCCCTATATTGATGAGGAGAGTGGTTTGTTGTTGGTATTTTTTAGCTTTTAGTTCATTCACAATAACATCGTTTTACTTATAGCTTTTTTACTTATTTCATTACTATTATATGACAAAATATCAGTTGTTAATACACATCATTAGTTTTGTCCAGAAAGCGAATGTGACAGAACTGGACATAATGCTGTTATATCTATTTCTTCGAGCAGCGGTGTAATAAATAATTTTCAAGTCGCTGTTCAATAGGCGAAGGTAATTTAATCATTGTTATTATAAATAAATTATACTTGATGTGTCAACTTAAATGCCTACCTACTTCAGTTTTCCCTCCTGTGAAACATCATTAGTTGAGTAATGATTGAGCAAAAGTTATTCCCATAATTCATGATGAAATACTATGTGACATACCTGGGCTGTTCAAAATATAAGGTGAATTTTCAAATTTGGCGGGCAGAGTATATTCGATTAGCGATGAATATGTTGAAAAAGTGAAGAACATTTTTATGGGGAATCGTCGATTACCCGTTAGAGAAGTTGCTGAGCATCGCTCAGGAATTGTTGAATGACGTCAACAACGATCCAGATATTCATAACGATACTTTACCTGCTTACTCGTCATTCCTTGCACGTAATTTTTTGTTATTGAAATATCATTATATCATTTTCTCTAGGGCATTTTCATTGATGATTGATCAGTGAATTTCAGTTAATTCATCATTATTTTTCCGTCATCAAAGTTCTGTTCGATGTAGTGACGATCGAAAAACGGCATTTTCTGGAAATGAAACACAAGGTATTGTTCTGTAATGTGATGTCATTACAGATATATTTTGAATATTAAATGGAAGAACAGGTTTTGCAGAGACCCGTTTCAACAAAAACTGAACTTGACCTCGTAATCTTCTTTTTCTTTGCCATAAAAAGTCAGAGTCAGAAATGCTTCATTGTCATAAAAGTTTAGGTTTTGTTGACAAAGCAGACTTGAGAACTAAAACAATCTGAAACATTAACATAAAGGTCAAGAATTTAAAACAAGATATTAATATGGCTCAAGCACACTTCANTCACATCTTCTCGACCTTCTGTTAAAAGTTTGTATCACTTGTGTGAACATTTTTCTGACTCAGAGAACAATCATCGTATGGCAATGTCAACATTTCCAGAGTTTTTGAGCACTTTATTCTATTTTCACACAAAAGTTGGTGCACATTCTTGGTCCATTTTTTTCGATAGCAGAAAATCGCTGAACACGGAAAACTACTTTTCAAATGTAAGTTGTATGTTTTTTCCGTTAACCAGCTATTCTCACCCCTACGAACGACAACCCTCAGAAGTCGAAACTTGTCCAGCTACCGATCGACCTTATATAAACCTGCGGTTTAAATCAATGAAACCTTCAACTAGGTACTACGAATTCTTCGTATGAAATATCTTTATCTGAAGAAACGTTGGTTGAGTAACAGCATCAATTTTTTCTAAAGAAAACAATTGTTTTCTCTCTGGGCTCTGTAACAATAACTGATTATTCTTTATGAAGGTTCCTCAAAGAGATATAACACAATTAATATCTTAACAAAGCTGACCACAGTGATAATCGGACAAATTTTTTATGTGTTCTTTTCGAGAGGCCCCGTAGAATTTTCGAAACGCCCCCAGATTCACGAAACGTTGCTCTTTTCGAACAAACATCCCTTAATGTGACGGACATACGTCATGGTGAAAACCACATGTTTGCTCTTACATTAAAAAGGTCTTCTGCATTGTTCGCCGAGGGGTTCGGAAGCATTATTTGCTTCTAGAGGGTGGTCCCGACGAAATGTAGGTACTTCCGAAAACAACTATTGATCTCTGAATGAGAGATGGGCCGTAATTACATTTTTATGTACACTTTATTATAGCAATATGAAATTTCAATTCAGAACTATAGCATTAAAAGCATACAATTTTTTAATGTGTTCTTCTTGAAACCAAGTGTTACATTTATTCGCACACTTTATTATAGCAACATGAAATTTCAATTCAGAACTAACATAAGAAGTGTTTTTGAAGAAATGTATTTTACTTTCTTAAGAATAAGTGTTATATTTTTATGCTGACTTTATTAGCAACCTGAAATTTCAATTCAGAACTATAACATAAAAAAATACGATGTTTTGAATGTATTTTATTTCTTGAGACCAAGTGTCACATTATTATGCACACTTTAGTAGGAAATACGAAATTTTAATTTAGAACTTGACATAATGAAAATAAAATGTTTTAATATATTTTACTTCCTTGAGAATAATATTTTTATTCTCACTTTATCAGCAACATAAAATTTGAATTCAAAACTATAACATAGGAAAAATACAATTTTTTAATGTATTACTAAGACTAAGTGTCACATTATCATGCACACTTTAGTAGCAAATACGAAATTTTAATTTAGAATTTAACATAATAAAAATACAATTGTTGAATGTATTTCACTTCTTTGAGAATAAATGTTGTACGTAATACAACAATCCTTTCGTAAATCTTATATTTCAGTTATCATCACGATAGAAATCATAAAAGGAGATAGATATTGTTACATACAAACGTCAAATTTGTATAGACGTTTTCATAGTTCCATGTCATTTGTCAGTGTTCCATGCTGTATACCTTGCTCGTTGTGCTGTTGATTGCAGTTATTTTCACTCACAGAGGAAACTTTAGAAAAACTCATGTTGGACAACAAACACTGTTCGAACACGGACAATTTGTATAAAACCGCCTTAACCAACCCGTAAAACAAGTAAAGTTTGTTGTTCCACTCATATCATCTCTGATGCGATTAGATCTTTAGTGGCTCATACTTTCAGGAGGTAAACAAACTGCCTACCAGACTACTTCCTAAAGAAGATATGCTCAGTCACTGTAGGAGATGTCACATGCAAACGATTTAGTGAAAAACTCTTACCTTTCCTTTTCTGATGATGGCTCGCCTTCTGCTCTTGACCTCTTGACCTACGGAAAAATATCGATGAAAACAAAATGCATGTTATTTGACGTTTGTGGGTTTTCTGAGATTCATAAAACAAACTTATGATCCAAATTGTAATATTTCAGGTTAGTTCTGGCTGTCTGAAAGAATTATTATCAAACTATTCAAAAGATAAATCTATTTAATACAGGCTGGGCCATCGAAAACTTGACATGGAGGTTTTGGGTACTCATCTTGCAAATCCAAAAAAACGCTCACTGATATTATTGAAAATGACCACAATTATCGGGAGGATCTGTTATTATTTCAACAAGATGGGGCTCCTCCGCACTATGCTTAGACTATCAGACTTTTCCGGATCATGGCGGGGCACTATCGAATTACCACCACGATCACCAGACCTTTCGCCGTTAGATTTTTTTCTGTGGGGTCATTTGAAAAGCAGAATTTACTGTACTCCTCCTGCATCACTCGAAGATTTATGGCAACGAATCACAAATGAATGTCGCCAAATTACTCCAGAAATGCCCCACAATGTTCGAGAACGTTTCCAGCAGAATCTCTATTATTGCATGGAAGCTGGAGGTGCCCATTTTGAGCATATGCTAACATGAGAATAAAATACAGTAACTTCAATTCTAAATTTAATATGGTTCGTCCAAATTAAAAAAAATGTACACCGTTGTTTAGAGAATTCCAAAATCTTTCAAACGATGTGCGACTCGACTATACCTAAATATTCTTTACAGTGTTGAGTTTTTTTCCCAAAATTGACCCAAAAACAACCTCCCTGAGGCTTAGCATACACTAACACCAAACACTCTGTATATGAATTGTAAAAATGCACATTTGTTTCTGTCAGAGAATGACCTACGGACACGAAGTTTGTTTTCGTAATGAAGACCTTGGATTTTCGACAACTGCCGTCATTGATTGAAATACGACACCCTCTCTCTGTTCCAGCCTTTTTTTGTCGACCTTCGTAGCGCATATGGTGGTCGTTAGTGAAATTAATTACTCAAAAACCCAGAAATGTTGTTTCTGTCAGTTTTTGACTTGGGAATACAAAGAAAAAATGGTATGATTTGGAATGATAACGAAAAACTTCTTCTAAAAATTTTGTATGTCATTATCTAGTTCTGGCCCCTCACTCCAACTATGGTGTTATCTTGTTTCTCATAGTGAAAGCAGAGGTATTTTTGAAGGTTACTTATTCTGGAAGATGATTATATTTATTCCAGAAACACATTATTATGAGATTTTCACTACACTGCGATACATTTACAACCAATCCAGAAATTTACACAGTCACCACAAGGTCTCCATTGGGATCCTCTGGCCACAAACTCATTTTAGAATAGAATAGAATAGAAGCTTATTTAACCACATTACACTTCACATGTTTGTAGCAAGTCATGACAAATTTGTTACGCACAGCAAAAGTAATTTCAGTTCGGATGAGTATAAAATATAATTTAAGATAAAAAGTAGAGCAACATAAAGATTAACATTAAAAACATGAAAGAACAACATGATATAGCATATTTACGGTAGTCAGATGAGTATGTTGCTTGTATGTTGAGACTTAGGAGCGATTTTTAAAATACCCCAGGTAATCAGAGACAGAGTAAAAGCAGCCCTCCAATAGTAGTTGTTTAATGGATTGTTTGAATTTATTCATACTAAGATCTTTCAGCTTGACTGGTAAACAGTTATATAAGTTGTAATCCAAAGAATTTTTTTGTGATTTAGCTAGGCGATATCGATTTGTACAGAT